GACACTGGAAGAATGTGACGAATAGCGGGGCGTTTAGGTGGACGTCACCCGACGAGAGCAGGTGTTTGTTGAGGAATACCATCGCAATCGATACGAACCAATACAGTGTCACCACTATTACCACTTCGGCGTATTTGTTGGCCAACGACCGGTTGGCCATCGCGTCCGCTATCGGCGAGGATTTGCCACTCATTTTGACCGTCGATTGTCTCGCGTTTGGTTTGTCTTAAAGGCCGACGAGTGGTGTCCACGAGTGTGTCACTACTGCCAGTAGTTTATAGACTGTCCACACGTTTCTGTCTGTCTGTGTTAGTCACCGATTGGATCAGTTGTGTCTTCGGTCAGCGACTCAGTCAAACGATTGGCTCAGAAAAATGAAATGTCATTTTGAAATGCAATTCAATGCAAGTGTTGTGTGTTTTGTGTTGTATTGAAAGCCAATGAAAAAGCGGTCATAAAAACTGCTTACAAAACATTGAATTGTTTTTTATAAACACTTTTTTGATATTCACTCGAAAACCAATTGCTATAAAAGTTTTACAATAAAACACCAGAAATACAAGTCATTAAAAACACATGTTTTTCAGTACACTATTCAATAGAGTTGTGCGAAACAAATGTTTACTTTTTTTAGTGAACACTTCGTTAGTGTCAACATTCGGCCCCCTTTTCTGTACACTATTCATATAAAACGTTACGAATAAGTATAGGGGGCTGTAATCAAATAGCATTAAATCATCGATAGTAACGTTATAAACGTTTATTACACTTTGGCTCAAACAATGGGCAAAGGGTTGTGTTATTTAGTACTTATCGTAACGTTTTATTTGAATTTTATGCTTTTAGTGCTTTAACGCGTAGAAATCTACTCATATATAACGTTACAAAAATTAGCGAAGAGGGAATTGTCACAAATGAGAGATTTGCTTATTATCTAATAATGTTTAACCAATAAAAGGGTGTCTTATATACTATAGAATAGCGTAACGCTGTATAAGACTATGAAAAGCATATGAGAGACAAGTGTTTACTGAATGATAAGAGTGTTTACAAACGTATTGTCAACACATATGACATACGAAGACATTGATAGACATTACAGACAAAGAGATCCACAAAATAGTGATAACACACTCGAGATAAGACACTTGTGATGAGATAAAGCGCTTCCATCACAGCCTTCATCGGCGGTAAAGAGTGTGAGACAATGTCTGTGTGCGAGAACGTGCACGCAGTGATCACATCGCGCAAGAGATCCACTGCNTAATCTTCTAATAATTAATTATAATAATAATAATACAGTATTATTAATGAAATATTGTAAATATAATTTGTATTTACGGGATATGTATTAATAAAGTTATATTTTTATATTTCATAATTGATAACAAAATTAATTATTTGTTTTCAAAGAATAGTAATTACAATACAATTTGTAAAATCAAACATAAAATATTCGCCATTAAAAGTCTTAAACACAATTGAATCAATCATATTGTGGTAAATGTTTAAGACTTTGTTTATGACATGTCTTGTGATTGAAAAGGAGTTTTAAATAAAATAAATCTCTAATTAAACAATTAATGAGTCATTTTGATTGGACGACAATCGCTGTCCAATCGTCACAGTCTTTGAGTCAAAATAATAATACAATTAACAAATCGAAAGACACCGTTAATTATCGTCTCCCAGGGGTCGCCGAAGACACCATTGACTTGAATCGGTTCCAGCACTGGACGCACGAGCGGCGCAGTGTATGCGCGTCCCTTTGATCCTCCAGATAACTGGCCATCGAGTCCTCGCTTTCGGCGATAAACTTCTGCACATCAGTCAATGGGAAGCCATTTTGGTAATAGTCTTTGATTGTCTCATACGAGTCCATTATAATGGCGATGAATAGACTCAACACCACGTATATGAACAGCACTATGAATCCGTAGAGATATAGTCGACTGAACCACCATATGATCGACGATTTAGTGTTGGTTATGGCAAATGTGGCGAACAGATCGTCACCATTCATGAGCGCGAACTACAGACAAACCCCGGAACAAACAAAATGGTTATAAATGACAATCAATTTTCACTCAAGTTATCATTAACTCCATGTGTTTAGCCAATTAAAGAGTTCATTATAACGTAAGTAGAGAGTGACTGTCCATTTGATGAGACAGTAAATACATACCAAGCACTCGGATGTGCGGGAAATGGTGCGGAACTTGTAGTGATAGGGACCCAATACAACCCAACCGCAGAAACAAAAGCCACTAAAAAAACATCGGTACAAAAAAATGAGTACAAAACACATTGTGACCACTCATTGGCCACTCATTGACCACCCGATCGGGTGGTCGAGTAGACACACAAAGACATACCTGTAGAGTATAAGAGCGCAGAGGAGGAACCGTAGGACATGCGGCAGAGCGTGTTTGAGCGTCACTATGAGTACATTGTATTTGTGAAAGAAACCCAAATAGCGTAAGAGTCCGCACCAGACCAACAGATTGCCGACGCCCAGCATCAGTGAACAGTAGTTATAGTGCGAGCCGTGGAGTGAATTGGTCTCCATATTGATCTTCTCGACGGAACCGGTGACGATCAGCACGTCGTTCACTATAATCATTATAATCCAGCCGTCGATGAACTGTCGCCAGTCTTCGGCGGACAACTCTTTGCCCAAATGTTTGCGAAAGAAGTAAACGGTTTTTGAGCGCAACTTTTGGCCCCTAATGATGGACCGAAGGCACAGGAAGAATGACAGAACGCACAGCAGTATTACGCCGACGTTCAACACCTGCCGCTCGACGTGTGTCTGCTCTTCGTTGTCCTTCAGATTGCCGTCGCATTCGTGCCGTACGCTCGCCGACGACAACGAGACCAACATTTGGCCCGAGTGTTGGCTGTTGTCGAACAGGATATTCACGTTCAGATTGTAACACTCGGGCGCGTCATATGTGGACAAACTGTTCAGATATATCGTACGCAACGGCACAGACATCTCGATGGAGACCAGACTCTCAAAGAGGAGATCAAACTTGTGTTCGGCGATAAAGTCTTTGAATTTGAATTGATTCCAGCGCTGATCGCCCGGTGGGTACGTGTTGTTGATGGCGATGCAATCGGTGCGGATCTTATTGTCGATGAAGTAGTAGTAGTTGGAGGGCTCGAGCGCTGCCTTTTGGTAGCGGCGGACACACACCCGGAGCGCAGACATGGGCTGTTCGGTAGTGTTGGGCGTCTGATAGCCGAATGAGCCGACACTGAGTGTGGATATGTTGGCGAACCGATGGATGGCGTAATCCATTGAGTCGAACACGTCTTGACGCTCGTACAGAGCGTACGGACCGGCGGCCGGAGGGTATGTCATCACTTCCCGAAGGGTGTCGTAATTGGGAAGAAATAGTTTACGCAAAGACGTCGCCTGAGATCCACACATGAAATACGAAGTGATATAAAGTGTTAATCAATTGATACAACAGATCCAACAGTGAGTGATATGAGTGGATCCAGTGGTGGTGCAGACATTACATACCATATTGGCCTCGAGTGTCATATAGTCGGACATATCGATGCCGAAGATAATGAGCTGAATCGTGACGAACACTATTTTGATGACCTGAAGGCCGAGTTTGTAGGGCAGGCGTCCCTTCGCCCGCCACTTGTCCACCGGCGACATGAAGTAGTACTTCAACGCCCGCCGCAGCCGATCCCTGTGTCTGGTGGTGGCCAACGGTTCCGATGGTATCATTGTGTCCAACGGGCGATCGCTGGACTCAGTTAACGACCACTGAGTGCTGGTCATTGGGTCGCCGACTCGGGCTGTACTCGTGTTTGACAGACACTTCTCGATGACATCGATGTCGTCGTCTTCGTCGCCCTCGGCGTCGGACCCGTTGATCACCAGTTGGTGTTGGCTGTCGTGGGCGGCAGTCATGGCAGTGGATCTCTTGCGCGATGTGATCACTGCGTGCACGTTCTCGCACACAGACATTGTCTCACACTCTTTACCGCCGATGAAGGCTGTGATGGAAGCGCTTTATCTCATCACAAGTGTCTTATCTC